CTTTTTGAAATTTGTTGTTCTCTTCCAATATCTGCCAAGGGTTTTTAGAATATATCCACTGTATAAGGAAGTTACAAGGACTTCTGGCATACTAACTGAAACTGCTTGGGCTGGAGCTGCATTCAATCTCTTTCTTTACATGCTAACAAGCCATGTAAGTTTGCTAGATTGGTAGTAGAATATTTTTAACAATTAGTATATACATTTTGTTATATTTGCTTTTGTGGATGTATATTTTGTGTTAGGCTTTGGCGCTTGAGTGGTTTATTGCTTGTAGGACTCGAGACATTTCAAAATTTAAACTGCATAATGAGAGGCAAAAGCTTAAAAATGTAGATCTCTAACCATTAGGATTATGGTGCATGTGGAGGAAAGGTCTATTCATGTCTTCCAAAGTCATTCCATCCTATTTTTATGACTATAATTTCCAATTTGTTAACAAGTGATATATATATATATATATATATATATATTGTTGAAAATAAAAGTTGAGGCTGGAGTATGGTAATTTGAGAAGCCATACCCAGTTGTGGTGTAAGGTTTGATTGAAATGAGTGGAAGAGTTCAGCATAAAACATGAAATATGAAAAGTTACTCTATCTAACTTCAGAGCAAGTACATGCATAATGATTAGGCATTGAATAGTTATTATAATCATGATAAGCAGGTTGAGGATTGTTTTCAAATTTTCATCATCTTTAATGTTCATCACTTGTCCCTGCAATCCTCACAACAAAATTTGTGTGAAAATTTTGGGTAAAAAAGTTGAACCTGTTCTTAATACTGGTGCATTGGAACCAGCACTTTCCTGTAGAAGATATATGTATATTTTTTCCCTTCCTTGTCTAATATATTTATGTATAAAAGCTGTTCTATTTAATAAAAACTGACATCCTCCAAAATCCTTCTTTGAAGGATGTATCCTTGTATCCCAAGACCTAAAACATGCCAATTTGTGCTTTTGAACTAACAATGGGTCTGGGGTAAAATGTTGTCTGGGTATGTTATCTCAGTTGCATTAGTTAAAACTTTTTAATAGTATGAATTCTGGTTAACTGCATATGTATAAGCCTGGAGTTGTTATATTTCCTCTTTAAAGTATATCTCTTATTTTGAATTTAAGCCTGATTCATTCTTCTGCCATATGTTCTAATGGTAAAGTGACTAGTTTTTCTTGTAGGTCTTTGGAGCTTTTTGGTACTTGTTTTCCATTGAAAGGGAATATACGTGCTGGAAAGATGCCTGTAAGAATAATACTGGATGCACTCCACTTGCATTTCATTGTGGTGGTGATTCTTCTTTTAGTACGTTGCTAAATCAATCATGCCCTATACAGACACCTGACACAACGCTTTTCAATTTTGGGATATTTCTTGATGCCCTTCAATCTGGTGTTGTGGAGTCAAAAGATTTTCCAGAGAAATTTTTTTACTGTTTTTGGTGGGGCTTGCAAAACCTAAGGTCTGCTCAAATATGATGCTTTTCATTTATTTTTCTTTTTCTATCTAGTGTTCACTGTTCATTGCTTGTTTGTTTTTTCTAGATGGGTTGTATTTCAGCTATTTTTGGCTAAATCTTTGATACTGGATTACTTGCGTTCCATCTCTAGTATGCTTGTTTGGCATACCACTTTTTGAATTCTTTAATAGTACTAATTTTGGTTTTTGATATTGTGTATCATTAATCTCCCAAATTTCCATCATTATTATGTCATATTGAATCTTTATTTGTTTCATTCTTTTTATCATATTCATATTGGATTGACAAAATTTATGAATTTAACTAAATAAAAATTTTGGCAGCAAATATTTACTCTTTCAACATTCTTTCAGTATCTACTTAAGTTGTCTGGTTAGCTCTTGGCCTATCAGAATCATAATAAAATTAAATGAAGTGGTCTCTCATTTTACAATATTGTCTTCGCTTTGAGGGGGTGGGTTGCAAAAATATGCATGCAGTCTACATAGAACATATAATGTGATGAACCCTCCTCATAATGTATGTGATGATCATTGCGAAAAGTTGGAGCTTAAGTATCTTTCCTTTTTCTATAGATATGTTCATCATTTTTTCTTTTCTTTTTCTTGAGGTAGATGGGAGATGATGTTAGGATTGGTGACTTTGCTGTGGTGATAAAATTGAGATTGATCCATGACAAAGCAGCAAGCTTCATTAGCTCTTGTAGTGCTTTAAATAACTATGGTTTAATGGTTTTAAGAGGTCACTGCTGAGTGATGGTCTTAGTTCAGATCTTTATTTAAGCTTGTTGAGTCTAGCATCCATCTTCTGTCCAATTGGGCTTATTCTTATTTTGGTGTATATTTGCTTCCCATTTCCTTGTTGAAAACAGGTTTTTGTTTTCTCTCTTTCCTATTGTTAGCACATTGTCATTAAGTTCTGACAGTAGCATCTGATATCTTTTTGCAGTTCACTGGGTCAGAACCTTGAAACTAGTACCTATGTCATGGAAATCTGCTTTGCAGTTTTCATTTCGATATCGGGCTTGGTTCTGTTTTCATTTCTCATTGGTAATATGCAGGTTGGTACCAAGCATCTGTATTCTTTTGAATTTGTATGTGGAGCTGTTTGTTTTGTAGCAGTGGATCTGGTTGCTAATTTCTAATAGGATACAACGTTTTGTTGGTAATTCTTTGTACTCTGAAGGCTTTTTCTAAAGAATTAGTTTCTATCATTATGATTTTTGAAAATCTTCTGCATAAGCTGCATGGTATTCACTGGAATGTGCTTCTGGATCCCCTAACTCCTTTTCTGAGAAGCATAAGTAATCTGTTTACAATGGCCGAAGCTTTTTGGTTCATTTCAGATTTTATAATGTCCAACTATTTTGCTTCTCTCTCTCTCTCTCTCTCTCTCTCTCTCTTCCAAATACAATGCGTGTTGGGGGCAACAAATAAGAAACACTTGACTCATGCTGTTACTAGTTCAATTCTTTCCTGTTGCTTTCTGCAACGAATCAAAAGGAGATTCAAACAACTTTAGTGATTTTTAGTTATGTCTGACTGTGAAATGGTTTAGATCTTCTACTTTGCTCTTACATAAGGACCATAAGTTATAGGTTATGATGAGTCAAATTTTCTGTGAAACAGACATATTTGCAGTCCACAACAACCAGATTGGAGGAGATGAGAGTAAAAAGACGCGATGCAGAACAATGGATGTCCCATCGCTTACTACCAGAGAATCTGAGAGAGCGGATCAGACGTTACGAGCAATACAAATGGCAAGAAACTAGAGGAGTTGATGAAGAGAATTTACTTTGTAATCTCCCCAAGGACCTTAGAAGGGATATAAAGCGCCATCTTTGCTTGGCTCTGCTAATGAGAGTGAGTGCCTTGACTTTCTAATCATTGTTTTTATTGGATTGCATCCTTTTCAGATAAGATTGGTACATATTATTATTTGACTCGCATTTTCACCACCAATAACTAATTTTAAGGTTATCTCACTTTTTGTTTTTTTTAATGTTTAAGGTGCCAATGTTTGAAAAAATGGATGAACAATTATTGGATGCAATGTGTGACCGTCTCAAGCCGGTTCTCTATACAGAGGAGAGCTACATTGTCCGGGAGGGAGACCCAGTTGATGAGATGCTCTTCATCATGCGGGGCAAACTGTTGACCATGACAACAAATGGTGGAAGAACTGGCTTCTTTAATTCTGAATATCTGGGGGCAGGAGACTTCTGTGGAGAGGAACTTCTCACATGGGCACTAGATCCCCATTCTTCGTCAAACCTCCCTATCTCAACTAGAACTGTCCGAGCTCTTACTGAAGTTGAAGCATTTGCTTTAATGGCTTATGACTTGAAGTTTGTTGCTTCTCAGTTCCGCCGGCTTCATAGCAAGCAGCTGCGCCACACTTTCAGGTTCTATTCACAGCAATGGAGGACTTGGGCAGCTTGTTTCATACAAGCTGCTTGGCGTCGCTACAGCAGAAAGAAGCTGGAAGAATCTCTTAGAGAAGAGGAGAATAGATTGCAAGATGCTTTAGCCAATGCCGGTGGGAGTTCACCAAGTCTGGGCGCCACTATTTATGCCTCACGGTTTGCTGCCAATGCACTTCGTGCATTACGGCAAAACCGTACTCGTAAAGCAAGATTGCCAGAGAGGGTACAACCTATGCTGCTTCAGAAGCCAGCAGAGCCAGATTTTACTGCTGAGGAACAATAGGCAGGTAGGTTTTTATTTATTTATTTTTATTTTGGGTAACTTTACGCCTGTTAGCATTATGTAAAAGGTCGTGTTTAGAACAGATTAGTAAATCTCATCCATCCCGAAACAGGAAAACATATCTTAAATAGGAAACTTGCCATTTGTTGAGTTTGAGGTCTGTATAAGATGTATATGTAAATCTTCAATTTTTCGTTGTTCCTCAGTGCCGTTATTATATGCTAGTATAAATATATTTTAAATAGTCAGTGTATCAAATTCAAGAGTTCTGCGAAAGGACGCTATGCAGCATGGGAAACGGAAATCTCATTGATTTTTACCTTTTTTTTTTTTGGTTTTAAATTTGTACCTTATTATTCTTGAATATCTGTGGGCCACGGTGTCTTCTCACCCAACCAAATTATTGAAGTGTTCGCTGTGACAAAGATTCGTCAACATACCCTCCATTATTTGATTGCGATGTTGGAGGCATCTTTTCCTCGAATTGTTCCAAACATAAAAGAATTTCGCTTTCCCGCTCCACTTGAATTAACTCGAATATCAATGCAACTGAAAAGAAAAATGTGAATAGACCAGGTAACCTGAAGTTTTGAATCTATTTGGGTTAAAAATGAACGGCACGGACAACCTTAATTTCCCAAATCTAAGAAGTCTGTTTTTAAAGTTTTAAAGCCACATCTTTACCATATAACAAGTGTCAAAATGAAGACTTATGCGGAGTCTTCGGGACTGTCAAAGCAAAAGTCTTCCTCACCCCATTTCACGGTGGCTGTTGGTTTATAGCTTGAAGATTGATGAAAATATTTTAACACCTGCAACAGCAATGCGTTGGATTAGCTCTGACTAGCTAGAGATGGGAAGAGACAAAAGCGAAAGAAGCTCATCAGGTTCTGTAAGCAGGTTGGACATGGAAATCAACTTTCGTTACAGTCAGAAGTTATCTTTTCTATCATGTTTCAAGCATATGTTAATAGGCTTTCCTCTTCCTCGTTGTCATTTTTGAGCCTGTCATTTGCATAGTTCTTTAATTCCATTTTTTTTTTTTTAAGTTTAAAGTTTGTGGTCAGATCTGCTGAGATCCGAACTTCTTCTTTCGTTCGAGGAATTGAATATTACTACAGTACCGTATACTATCTCAGCAACCAGCAGGGCTTTACGAACTATTACAATTTTGAATCTTGCAGTCAACATCTACCTGAACAACTGATTTATATGGACACGTATAGTCATGAACTTGTTTTCGTTCAGGTCTCAAGGACACAGAAATTTGGAGGGTGTTAAATCACGCCATTCGCCTAAGACGAGTTTGAATCAAGGCAAAGCAAGTGAGAGATCAAAAACATTAGTCTCGGGAAAGATCCAACGCTGTTTGAAATCTGTTTCTGATATTAAGTCAATTAAGAAGATTCTTAATCCACTGGGACCATTTTCAAGTTGGTGGGATACATTATTTCTACTGTCAAGTGTGATTGCCATCTCACTAGATCCTTTGTTTTTCTACCTCCCCGTCGTCAATGAAGACAAAAAGTGCCTTTTCATGGACAGAAAGTTGGGGATTGCAGCAATGGTATTGCGTTCACTCTTGGACGGCCTTTATATAATATACGTCACTTGTCGAGTTTTATCTCCTTGTGCAAATAAAAGGGGTAATTCATCAAGAGATGCTTGGGCTATAGCAAGGGGATATTTCCTGTTACGCCTCTTTCTAATTGACATCATTTCGGTTCTTCCACTGCCACAGGTAAGCAATTTTCATTTAGCAATTTGCAATTTTGTTTATTATGGCTGAAATGTTTCGAGAATTTATCTATCCTTGATACGTGAAGTCATTCCTGCTTATATATATCCAGATAGTTGTTTTGGTTATCATTCCAATGATGAGAGATGTGAGATTTTTGGATGCTATGAACTTGTTGACAATTGTTGTCTTCTGCCAATCCATTCCAAGAATTTTTCGGATCTACCAGTTGTTCAAGAGAGACAAAAGAACTTCAGCCACACTAGCTGAAGCTACATGGGCTAAAGCTGCATGCAATCTCTTTCTTTACATGCTTGCCGGTCATATAAGTTAACTGACTCCCACATCCAGTTACATGATTTGTTTATATATTGCATAGCTCTCAGGACTTGGCCGGGCATGATCTAATTTGAAAGGCATATATGTTTGAGCAATGCTCAAAGTCAAACAAATTCGCACATCCTAAGTTATTTTATGGTAACTTATTTTCGATTAAAATCATCAAGTGGCTTGCTCATCTTTTAGGCACTGGGAGCTCTGTGGTACATTTTGGCCATAGAACGAGAGACTACATGCTGGAAAAAGGCTTGCGCAAATCACATTGAATGTGTCAATGGATCATTTTACTGCAATGACAGTCTCGGAAACCATACATTTATAAATGATTCTTGCCCTATAAGTACGCCAAATACCAAACTCTTTGATTTTGGAATATTCCTTGATGCTTTACAGTCTGGTGTTTTGGAAGTGGTGAATTTTCCACAGAAGTTTTTTCACTGTTTCCATTGGGGTCTACAAAATCTGAGGTTAGATTATTTTCGTTCTTCCTTCTCTTTTTGGATTTTTTTTTAATAGAGGGGAGGTGAGGATGTTCTAGCTAATGTAGGGTTAAAGTATAAAAGACAAGGTGTTATATCATTTCAGCTTCATCAATGTATGTCTTGATGCATTTTAACTTATCATTCTCTGGACTCTGTTTTCCATATTTTTTTCTGATTACTTTGGGAAAAAGAAGTCTTTTAAAGCTTCTTTGATTATTATCTAAATAATTTAAGTTGGATGCAATTTTTGCAGTTGTTTCGGGCAAAATCTGCGCACAAGTACCTGTATTTGGGAGAACTGTTTTGCACTATTTATTACCGTCTCCGGTTTACTTCTATTTTTATCTCTGATTGGGAATGTGCAGGTTTGGCAACTCTTAGTTTACTTCAAAATTTTTTCAGTGAACATTGAAGACACCATTTAAATCGGAAAAAATCAATTTATTTTCAATTGTTGTTAAATATGTGTCATGCTCGGGCTGCTGATTTTTTGCATCAAACCTCTGCTTTCACTACTAGCAATATGCAGTCATGCATTCCTTGAGCTTTCGCAATCTCTGTCAGTGTATACTGTTAATGTTCTGTTATCCGAAGCCATGCATAATTCATAGTGAAGCAAAATGGTATTCATATCCTGCTTTAAGGGAAGCTGGCTGTGTTCACTAGTCTTGTCAGCACATTCCAACTCTCACTTCGTCCCAGACAATTTTCTGCATGGAAATCAAATATTACTTGAAGAAACTACATGATATTGCTGTTTGTATTCTAACTGATCAGTGAGTTTGGATTAAGTAAGAGTTTTGGTGTAGACTCTAAAAAGCATGGACTCTTTTTCTTGATGGCAATAATAATCCAGAATTTGCTGAACTGTTTCCTTTTTGTGAAACAGATTTATCTGCAGTCCAAAACCCTCAAATTGGAAGAGTTGCGACTAAGAAACCGAGAGATAGAGCAGTGGAAGTCGTTTAAGAAACTTCCCTATAAACTCCAACGGCAAATTAAACAATATCAGAGATACAAATGGCAAGAAAGCAGAGGTGTTGATGTGGAGAATCTTCTAAAAAATTTTCCCAAGGAAATCATAATGAATATCAAGAGTGAACTCTTCTTGAAGCGGCTCACGAAGGTAAGTTCCTTCTGTTTACAAAGAACAGATTAGCTGCTCATTACAAATTATTAATCCTCTACTATAGATGAATTCATTCTCATTCTAGTCATTTAACTATGGTAAGGTGAAACGATTTAATTTTCTGGGCGATCGAGCGTTGAATGAACTCTGTTACTATGCGAAGCCTGTGCTCTTCATTAAGCGCAGTTACATTACAAAGGAGGGAGACCCAATCGATAAAATGCTATTTATTGTGCAAGGAAAACTAAGGACATATTCAAGCAGCAATAAAACATCAGAGTCTGATGATACTGCTTACCTACAAGATGGTGATTTCTGTGGAGAAGAACTGCTAGAAGAATGGCACCCGTTCCAGTCACGGCACTTTCCCATCTCTAAAAGAAATATTCAAGCACTTACTAAAGTGGAAGCGTTTTCTTTATCTGCTGATGACTGGAAAAACCTTTGCATTTGGGAAGTCAGGAAATTACAATTTTTCCGTCGCAACCATCGCCGAAGGAGAGAGTATGATCATCTTCTGGATATTAAAATAGCTGGAGGAGTTGATAACATTTCAGCCTCGGGTAACACTAGCATCGACGCCTCGAGTCCTGATAATAGTGCACTTGAAACTATGCAACTTATTAATTCACGCCTGTCAGCTGGATCACCAAGGCCGGAACCATTGGCCATTCGTGAGGAAGAAGAACAGTAGATTGGCAGAGAACTTGTTAACACTTTTTAGATACTGTAATCAGCATCGTGTTGTTACAAGCTCTGTTTCGAGGATGTTCTGACATGGGAACTTCTAGTTTCACGGGAAATTCTGGAATAAACATGACAGTATTTTAGTTTGGAGAAGGGATATCGTTATTTTGTTGTTAAAAGTTGTCTGCCTCTTTCTCCTTCGCAATATGGTATTTTGATTAGTACAGTCCAAACACTATTTTTGGTTAAAATTTCCCAACTCTTTTTCCTTTTCTTGATAGGCTTCCACTGTCTATTAAAAGTTGATTCTTTGTCAGAAATTTTAACCAAAATTATTGTTTTCAAACAATTAAAGAAGAAGGATTCAAACCTGGAACCTTTTTATTGAATCTTAACATTCAACAAAACAAATGCAAGAGAGATGATTAGGTACCTTTTTCACGATGGAATGATTTTAGGTTTTGGTTCCTTCCATCATGCCAACGTCCACCAGTAGCGGCGGCTTTGCCCTTGGCACGAGAAATGAAGGCAAAATTACTTTCTAAAAAAAGTGAGGAAAATGGATGAAAATATGTAGGTGGGGATGGCAGAATCTACTAGACGTAAGGTGATCGGAACTCGGAAGCCGCCTATTTGTGTGATTGGAATAGGACATTTTTTTTAACTCCTTGAATATTTGCCTTGGAGTCTTTTAAGACGAGGGGGAAGGGGCCAGATGAAAAACACAGCAGTAAATTAACAAATAGGAACCAAGTTTCTTGCTCCAACTTCAAACTCAAACGCGTATTACATAAACCATGATCAATTCGAAATCTGAGAGCCAACCCAACCCAAAGCAAATACACTTCTATATAACAACCATAAGATGAGTCCTACATTAAGTATTCATTGTAATTGAAACTTAATGCATGCTAAAATGGCTCCGGCTGCACCTAAATGTGGAAAACATTTATTTACTGTCTATTTCCCAAATGGGAGTATTTCAGCTTATGAGAAAAGTTGAATAACAATTCGCATTGCTACATATTTGCCTAGGAGACACAGATTCCTCGTGCTGGTGTTGCAGAGTCGCAAAGTAGCCTCACCTCCCTCTTGAGGAAGGAAGGCAATGCAAAAGCAGCCTTGTGCATCTGTCAGTAGAACACAGAAGTTACATTTCTACCAGGAGAATTCATATTTGGCTACGAAACTGCTTAAGTACTAATATGCATCTCATTGACCATCCATAAGAACATCACTATTCATGTGCATATGTAGAAGAAATGTTCACTTATTACAAATCATCTTCACTTTTGTTCTGATACGTTGCTAATTTCAAGAGATTGAAATATTTATTAAGCTTTCAAATTACAGGAGGCTAAATGAAAAAGACAATATATGAAGTGCCATTAAAGACCACTCTAAACCAGCAGAAAAAGGACGGTTAGAGGTCCACAGTAGCTGGCGAAAGAAACTATTGTAAAAGGGATGGGAGCTGGAACTTTGGTTTAGAGAAAAGAATCATTAATCAAACAATCCAGCAGACCAAGATGTTGTTTCACCAAGAAATGAAACAATGTCCTGTCAGTCCGAGGTCCATTATTAAGTTTAAGGAATTAATGTCTCATGGCAAAAGTAAGTACTAAGTACCCTGCTGAACTGAATGAAAACTGAACTTGAAGATAAAGAATTCTCACCTCAGAGTTGTAAAATCTAAGTTCTCTCTTGTGATGGTAAGCTCCCTCTAGCTTCTCAATAGGGTTTATGGGATTCACAAAATCAACCTGTGGCCCCTCTGTGGAGCATATCAGAAAACCAATCACACCACTGTATTGTAAAAGAAGGAAAAGGAAGAAAGAAACCCGAAGTCAGAAATCAGATAAACTTGATGGTCCTCCAATTAATAAATCGTAACAGATAAATTTGCAATCGAGAAAAGCATCATTTAATATCTAAAAGAGAATAAGGGGAAAAAGACAGCATGATTAAGTACCTTGGATAAGTTGGAACACTTGCCCATGCATAATGAACAGAACCCTTGAATGTTTCACGGCAAATAGAGATCATATCTTCAATTAGATGTGTATGAAGCCACATACTCTCTGCCATGTTGCAGAGGACACCACCAGGCCTTAATGCTCTAGCTATGGTCTCAAAAAATGGTTTCTCTACAAGCTCTTGAGCAGGACCTATATTGCAAAGAAAAACTCCCGAGTGAAAGCTTGAATAATGTTAAGTCTTGAAACCAAAATGAATTTGCAGATATCATGGTTATAACATCACCCACAGCTCTTGAAAACTAAAAGAGGTCATAACAAGCATCTAAGAAAAAGAGCACCGCATACACAGTCTTTAAGAAACGATCAAAGAGCTTTCATGCTTCTAACCCTTTCTTTCCTTTTTTTTTTTTTTTCTCATGTTAAAAGAAACAATAGTTTTTTTTTTTTTGGGATCTGCTTACCTCACTAAAACTATAAACAAAATTATAATGGACCAAATATTACAACGTACCTACAGGATCTGATGAATCAACAATGATTACATCATACTTCCCTTTCGGAACATGACGAAGAAACTCAACAGCTGTTAAGATTATGTAAGTAAAAATATCAGCTTCCGAGTTACAGATTATGCTTGACCATTTGCAAGAAATTCACAGGAAAAAATTGAATACAAAAGAAACAGGAAAAATATTGTTTCAACATACCATCACCAACATGAAGACAAACACGAGGATCCTCGTATCCAACAGCTAATTCTGGAAAGAACTTCTTGGAAACCTGGAATAAAGAATATGGTAAATGACCACCAAATGTGCATTTTCAGACATAAAGTAAAGAAAAAGAAAACAAGAGCCACTAAAATAAAACATACATCTATAACCATCCTATCTATTTCACATATATCAATGTGCTCAACAGAGCTGTGCCGAGAAATCTCCCTAAGAACCCCACCATCACCACCTCCAACAACCAGAACCTGCATCCATTATTTATTTAAAATTCAACATGAAACCACCATGAGGCTAAAGTAAAATCTTTCTAGAACTGAGGTTAGATAGGTAAGATTTTGATAAAGGTGGAGAAAAATAGAGGTTAATCAGGCTTCAAGCACTTTAAACCAAACAAATAGCATAGGGGATATATCTCATGATTTTGATGACAGAAAAGACTTTAAAGCCAATTTCAACTGGCTTTCTAGCACAAAACTTCATACAGATTGCCCAATTATGCAATCTTAGAGAAAAAAAATTTCAAATGGCAACTTAGAAATTGAAAAAAAAGAAAAGCTTGATGAGTCCATCAATAAATAATGGTATTAGCACATAAAAAGGAAATTACTGACTGCCAGATATAGACAAAAACCTATGCTTAGATAAGATGAGATTACAGTTTTGGGAGATGGAATTGAACAAAGGGGAAGATGAGCTATCATCTCCTGGTATGCCAATTCATCTTTCTCAGTCAACTGAACTATACCATCAAGAACAAGCACTTTTCCATAGGTTGATGACTGCAGAAAAGTATTGTTATCAGCAAGATTAAGTATAACAAACATAAGAAAAAAGGGATGCAGAGTCAGGCATACAAAGGACAAGAGGAATACAAAGATAGAAAGGAACTGGTGGTAGAAAATAGGGGAAATCCAAAAGCAGTGTTGAAATGCCAAACCTCAAAAACAAGGACCTCTTGATAGTCCGACTTTGCCTTGTATAAAATGCTTTCAACTTTCAGAGAATGTGCTTCTCCTGAAGCAAAAATTTTACACATTGTCAGTAAAGGATATGGTACAATGTAGGGGAGGCTGCCCGTTATTCAACTAAAGGCTCCGAAGCTCCCATTTTGATAGAATAAGTTACTTTGATAAATTATCCAAAGGCAAGCAGGTCTGTAACATTGTGAGAAGGGTAAAGAATTGTCAGCAAATGAAATTTTTATCAGATTTCCTCCGTTATTGTAAAAAAAAAAAAGAAAATAATTGTGATGTGGCTATTGTGAAGAAAAAAAAAGATAATTTTAAGAATTCCAAACTTATATAAATTAGAAAGGGAAATTAAAGCTCACCAGGCCACATAGGATTGTTGAAGTAAACCATTTTACCAGCTTTATCAGAAAGTGAAGAAAAAACATAAAAATCAAACAGAGTAATTCTGGCAAATAATGAAAAAGAGCAGGAAAGAAAAGAATTTAAAGATAATGACCAGAGGAAGACTGAGATTCTGAGAACCACCCAGAAACAACGGTAGGATGGCATTTTGCCTCAAGCTCAGGGGCTGAAGCCCTAGCCTTCAAGCAACAGGAAGGGATAGCCTTCTCAGAACCATTCCCATTATTCACCTTCCCATCCATAATCTTCTGGCATTCCGAACCTCTTCCTGCGTCTTCCCCCATAGATTATCTTTTTCTTCTTCGGCTCCAGCCTCTATATGTCAAAACAAATTCATAAATTCCCTTCTTCTAGAAACAAAACCAACATATGTAGGCACGTGCAGATTAAAATCTTTAAAAAAAAAAAAAACCATTTAAAACAACAAAACATGCATGATGATAAGAGTAGAACTAAAGAAGTTTTTCTTAAAAAAAAATAGTTAGTTGCCGAATGTTCCGGATTGAAAAAGGCACCAGATTCCTTGTTCTTCTAGCAGTATGCTCATACATTCCTCACCATTGTTAAAAATACAGTAATAAACCTCAAAGGAAAAAATTAAAGAAAAAAACAGAGAAACAAGAGTGCGATATAGCAGAGAACTTTCCAGTAGAATTCCGGGCCAAAAAGAAGTTTTTATTTTAACAATTCCAAGCTATTATCAGTAACGAAAGCTGTAATCTTTTTAAAACAAATTTATTACAGGGGCATATTATATTGGTTATGATCGTGAAAGTGATTAAGGAAACTAAAAAAGTATAACCTAACTAAAGTAATGCAAGAAGATTCTGATATGATATAATAACAAAGGAAACAAAATCAAAATCACAATGATTTAACTTACATGCCTCTGATTATTGGAAAATGAGAATTTCTCGATTCTAAGAGGGAAAAAAAAATTAAAAGTCACCCAAACTAAGATATATAGAATTTCTATTTTTTAAATTTATTTTCTTCCAGTTCCAAAATCTAAACAGTTTTTTTTTTTTTTAAATGAAAGGAATTCGATCAAATGGAAATCCTTCTTCTAGGAATGATCAAAGTCAAACATAAGAATAAAGAAAAAAAAAAAAAGGCAAGCGAATAAACTTTTATTTTAATACAATTACAGCAAGCCAACCCTCCGTTTTTCGCTTTTATTGCAGAAATAAACAGATAAAAAAAAGAATTAAAGGAAAAAAAAGAATACACAAAGCCCAGATTCTCTCCCGTGAAATTTTCTAAACGGAAGGGGTTAGGGTTTAGAAAAGCGAATTCAAAAGCTGAGTCTCCTAAAACCAATAATAAACTTTTGCTTTTCGAATGAAATGAATAAAACAAAAATAAAAAGAAATATATCAAACAATGAAGAGGATATCAGGCTAAAAACCAATAAAGAGGAAGATAAGGTGATAAAATAAATATATATATATATATATAGAGAGAGAGAGAGAGATATATATATATATATATAATTAAAGAAAGACGAAAATCTTGCCTGGTCTGAATGTCAGTGAGCGTCAAATTAAAAAGAATGAGACTCCGAATAATCTGGAGAGTCCAAATATCGAGCGGGAACGAGAAAGAAGAAATTTTGTGTTTATTATTGAGTTTTCTCTTTCCCCAGTTGATTTATTTTGCAGGTTTAGGCTTTTAGCTTTGCTTTGATGGAAATGGCGCTTCCCACCCCCTTGTTTATATATGCACGCGCCGCAAGACCACTGGCAATGCACTTTTTTTTTTTTTTTTTGTTTTTGTAAACGGGGTAATTATTATTTCAAAACGGATTACTGTTGGACAAATGACTAATATACCCATATTAAGAATATGGCTTAGCGGGAATTATTGTGATTTTGATGGAAAATATTTTTATTATTTTAAAATTTTAAACGTTTTTAGAAAATTTCATTCATTTTTTAATATTTTAAATTTTAAATTTTGAAATTTTAAAAATTAAAAATGTCTAAAAACTAATATTTTTAAATAAAAAATACAATTTCATTTTAAAAAAATAAAATGACAACAAATTTTTTATAAATATTTTTTTCTTTTTTTTTTTCTTTCCACTCCTTTTTCTCTCTCCCGATCTTGTTTATAATCCATCTTACTGACGAATCAAGCAAGCCAAATTAAACATAAAATATATTTTGATGCGAAATGTTTTGGATTTAGTTAGATTTGATCAAATTAATTAATTCCAATATTGACATCTAAGTAAAAATATTGAGAAGTAGAAAGTTCATCATTAGTTATAAAAATTTAATATGTATGTCTTATTATTTATTTATCTATTTTTTAAAAAATTTATATTTAATTTATTATTAATATATTAATTTTATACATTATAAATAAATCAAATGATATCACTTAATTAATAAATATATATTAATTTTAAAATAATTATATAAAAAATTAATATTTTAAAAAAATTATTTATTAATAAAATGATATCATTTAATTCACTTAATTAATGAAAAATATCATTTGATTAATGTATTAATATAAAAAAAATCAACTCAATCTAACATATATATATATATATAAATGTCAATGTCGCGATTATTCTTTTAGGCAAGACGAAGAAGCTCTATACTTTTTATACATTTAATTGATTCTCACCCATCTTCAAACCCATACTTTTTTTTTTTTTTAAAAGCGACTTTTGATTCCTAACTTCGCATTATCATCGCTTCAAGTTACATACATTCATATATATATATATATATATATATATATTATAAAGTAGTAGGATGTATGTTACCCCGGTGACCCTGTCCATACTTCTCAAAGCTTGATGCTTGCTTTTCTGAAAATGTCATTTTCCAACCTTCCAATTCCGTCTTTCCAAAGGAATTCGAATGTGCTATCAAAACAACTTAGAAGTGCTCGTTGAATTCCAATGACTTGTTAACGAGATTATCTTTCCTTACACTTTTAAACCGATAAAAAATTTTATTATCATCGTTATTCAAGAGTGAATTTCTGATAATTTATGATGATAACATATTAAAATTTATTAGTTAATGTTAATCCGAATCAATTCAGCACAACCTTTTTGGTTAGTGCTTATTGATGTAGGGAAGAAAAATATTAAACTTAAACTTCTTTAAATAAGTTTGGCCAAATGAAAACCTTTCTTTAAATAAAGAATATATGCTACTATTAAGGGTGGGAAAAAAATTAAAAAAATTAAAAATTAATTCGAAATTCTAATAAAATTTTTTTATTGAGTTTAGATTAAGATTGAATACTAAATATATATATTAAATTTGAATCGAATTTTAAATTGAGATGTAAAAAATAAAAAAATAAATCAAATTATATATTTTATTAATTTTTATATATATTTTAATTTTTTATAAAATAAAATAATTATTTTTATATAAAAATTTATTTAAATATATAAAAAATATTATTAAAATAATATATAAAAACCAAAAAAATTAAAAATTAAAAATAGATAAACCAAACTAAACTGATAGAATTCAGTTCAGATTAAATCAATTTTATAATAAGATCAACTCGAATTTAGATCAAATTTTAAAATTTTATAATATTATATATTATCCAAAAATTTAATATTTCAACTCTTTCTTTAATTGATTTTATTTATTTTGTTTCATTTTTATTCTTAAAAAATTAAAAAAATTGATATTTCAAAAATTTTAAATACTTTTTATTTTATTATTTTAACAAAAAATTGATATTTTTCCTTAGATTTTTTATTTATCGAATCTCGTTTTTATCTTTGAATAATTAAGAAAAAATTGATATTTTAACTTTTAAATATTTCTAAAATTTTATTTTTAAAAAATAATATTTTAACTTTTTTCTTAATATTTTTTCAAAATTTTTTTATTTTTTTATTTTATTAATCATCCTCAAACAAATTAACTTTTAAAAATATATCCACATGCATTACAATTATTATCCTTTACAAACATAAAAACATTAAAAATATAATAAAATAAATAACTAAAAAAAAAAAACCCCAACAAAACTTTAATAATGGAACCCAAGGTCTACAGTTCTGGAAGTCCGAGGAACAAAGTTGCAAGGCTAAAAATTGATACAGTCCTTTTTCCGAAAAAGAGCCAGGTGGTCACCTTGTCTTGGGTCGGACATTAGACCATTCGGGTCGGGTCCCTCATTTTTTGGTGTTTTTTGGGGGGAGGGGGGGTTTTATACTTTTCAATTTATTTCCATAATTCCATTCTCTGCCCAGCAAAAAAATCACAAACCAATGTCTCCCCTGCCAAACCCATACTTCGGCGGTCAGCCGCCGCTGTCGTCGTCGGCGCCGTCAGCCGCAGGTTTTCTTTTCCACACTCTCACCAAATGTCCTACTCAACGCCCTCGTCACGGATCCGAGCTTGGATTTCTCAAAATCAACCCTTAATGTCCTAGATATAAAGTTGAACCCCGAAACTTCAAGTGGCCGAAAAGTGCTATCCTGCAGTCCGATTTGGCCAAGACCAAAGTATGTTGTTCTCCATTCGTTGGTCTCCCGTTCCATCGTTCCCGATCTTTCAAAAGAAAAGCCGTTGCCGCTGCTCACAACACTTCACACTGCCGGCGCCGCCTCTTTCACCTTTTCGTTTTTTTTTGGGTAGTTTTCTGATGGGTTCCTCAATAGAGGAGGACTGTGGTTTTTTTTTTTTTTGATTTTCGGTTTCGATTCTTGGGAGTGTGGTGGCTCTGGGTTTTGGTTTTGGTTTTGGTTGAAGCTAAGAAACGATGGTGACAGGGGGTTGAATGGAAGTAATTGGTGGTGGCAAGGCCGAATAGGGATGGGTGATGTATGGTAGCGAGTGATCTGGGTTTCAGTAGTTTCGACGCTTGGTGAAAATGGGGGCCGAACAGGCTTTGATGGAGGAGCCGTGCGGATGTTGGTGGTGGGATTTAGCAGGTGCTGTAGGCTTAGATGTTGTGGTGGCAGTAGGCTGCTTTTTCGGTGGAGGCATGTGGAGGGTGGTCGCTCAAGTGTTTGACAGAGGAGGCTATAATCGTTCTCGAAAAATTTCCCCCTCTTCTTCTGTGGGATTGCTGGGGTTTATATAAGGGTTAATACGATAGAGATCCAACTTGAGACTAAAAAAATAAAATTTGAAAGGAATCCCATCTTGTTCGTTTGAGTTTTGACCTCAAACAGAGAAAGGTTTCAAAAAACCCTCTTAGCAGAATGGCCTTGAATTTTAAAATTTTCATACTCGTAGATTTTTATCCGAATCATATCCCAAAATTAGCCATTCTTTTTTTATTTACCTTGTATCATAAAATACAAATGAAAGCATAGAAATGGGCTAAATCAGATGGCTCATGAAGATCAAAATATCAAAGTCCAAATGGTAACTCAAGCTTTGGATGGCTCGGTTATGATCCAATGAACGCATAAACCAAAATTTCGGAAATTAGTAACTTCAGACAAAATAATGTGTTTATAACTTGTTTCCTGTTTAACATATGTAAAACATAAAAATTTTTGTATTATGTTAATATATTAAATATAAAATATATTTTTTAATTTTTGTCAAATTGCTAAAATTTTAAATTATATTATTTTTATATATATTTTATATTATTTTTATATTATACATCACTATGATGCATTTAAAATTGTTCTGATTTAAGTAAAAGACTTATTTACAAATACCATATTAATTTGAAAACCAAAGTCCATAGGCGTGTATAAATCAATCATTAGACCAATAACTTAGGTTTTTAATGATTTTCTATTCAGAGAGCAAGATTCAAATTTCTTTCTTCAAATTAAAAAACATAAGTAGAAAATTTTTTATCTTTAGCTATTACTAACTAAAATACATACATATAATTAGATGCAAACGTTCAGCTTTGGAATGAACAAACAGGCAATGCTGACAACCCTGAAACAGAAGTTAATAAATACAATCATCTTATCAGGTTGCTAAATACCAAGAAATTAAAGACTAATCACTACCCAGTTATCAGCACTTGGAATATAAGCAGCAGACGGGGGATCTAAAGTTTTCCTTTTCAGTCAAACCAACTGATCTTCGTTTGAGTTTGTTTTGACTCTAGCTACATCCCCTTCGGCCTGAACCTTCAGGTGCGTCTGCTCTGGTGCTCTGGTAGGTAAGAGTAAAGGTTTGGGAGGCAGTTGTAGGCTTTCAACATCTCCTTCAAGCATCTCCACGGCTTCCTTCATAGAAGGTCGATCATCGGGACTCATCTGTATGCACCAAAATGCGGTTATAATAATCTTCTTTGCCAGTTTCTTTTCATCTTCTGACGCATCTCCCATGTCTATGTCCTTTCCTTCACTGAATTGATCATAAACCCAAGAAGGATAGTAAACTTGACTCAAATGCTCCACAGATGCATCTAAGTTCTTCCTCCTGCCGGCCATTTCCATCAACAACATTCCAAAACTGTAGACATCAGATTTACATGACACACCTCCAATATTTTTGTAAAACAACTCAGGCGCCATGTATCCTCTTGTTCCCCTTGGCGCAGTCAATGACACAACGCTATCATCTATTTGGTATGATTTTGCTAGCCCAAAATCAGAGACTTTTGGCGTGAAGTTCTCATCAAGGATAATATTTTGAGGCTTGATATCAAAATGTAAGATTTGCACATCACAACCATGGTGTAGATATTCAATTCCACGAGCCACTCCCACAGCAATCCCATATAATCTTTCCCAACTTATAGTCATGTGTCCTTCTGGGTAAAAAATGTATTTTTCAAGAGAACCATTAGGCATGAACTCATATACAAGAGCACGTTTGGATCCCTCGGCACAAAAACCAATTAACTGTACCACATTAATGTGGTGAATCCTGCCAATGGTTGCCTACTTCATTGATAAATTCTTGACCGTTAGCTTTGGACTTACCCAATATCTTTATTGCTGCAAATCGACCACTGCGAAGTTTTCCCTTATACACAGAACCATAACCTCCTTCACCTAATTTATCCTTGAAATTATTAGTAATCCTCTTGATATCGGAGTAAAGGTACCTAACTGGCATTAGGTTATTGTGAGCTTGGAGGAATTCTTCAACTGTGTCGTACATGGATAGATGCCTCCTCCGCCACTTATAGACCAGAAATATGATCACAAATGGGGCTCCAAGTATAAAAGCTGCTATATGGTACAAGGCTGCGTAGAAAAATTACAGAAATGACTCAATTTGTGGCGATGGACAATTTGTTTTTGTTGGAAATATACCTGAATTTCTTTTCTCATGAAAATTCACATATATTTTATCTCATATTTAAAATAATTGAGGTACGTTCGTAAAAAAAATGATTTAGGTACGTACCAATTATTGTAATGATATCACTAGTCAATCCTGCAAGAAATACGAGTGAATAAAATAATTAAAGTAATTACTAGCTAGGAGTTATGAAACTTTTTATACTTTCTGTTATATTTTCCAGAATGTTGAGTAGTATTTTTTTTAAACTCAAGATTTTCTTAATCAAACCGTAAGAAAGAGGGGAGACTGATTCTCACTGATCAAGCGATAGACGTCTTGAAATTTACCTGATTCTGTTACAAAATAGCCAAGATTAATAAGGAAGGACTAAGCAAATTCATAAATAAGGACTTCACAAAACAGGGGAGGGGGTCAGAAATAAGAAATTAACGAAATGGTTAACAAAGTCTGGAAAGCATACCTATAGGAATCCTAAGAACGTAATAAGTGATCTCACCGGACAATAACCACCCGCCCGATAAAATAATTCCAAGATGAAGATATTCGTAAACGATCAAATACCACCAGTGATAAATTCTACATCAGACTTAAAAGGTTACGAGTTGTTGCAGAGCAATGAGATATATATTAGTAAGAATTAGTAAAAAAGTTAGTAAAAGAATTAAACTTTTGACACCTACCTGTAAATAAATGAACTAAATAAACCGTTAGAAGTGGACTGCCAGCACACTTCCATGCCTCTCGAGAGTTCGTTGTAAATATCGAAAATAGACGTACTGTTGATATTAAGAAATAGACCTAGCGGGGCCGGAACCTGGACCTCAACTTTGCAGGATTCATTGAAATCGGAAAACTTCATATCTGCTTCATAACTTAATATAGCATAAAAAAAATGGGGATTTGGAGAGGACGAGCTGTTGGTGCAAGGAGAGGCATCGATATAGATCGAAGAGTTTATAGGTACCTTGCAATTTAGAAAGTATATATATGAAAGACTCCGATGAAAGCAAAATGATAAAAAAATTCCACGATAAATCTTATAGAGAATCAAGGAATTGCGAGGAATAGAGCACTTATCCTTCTCCAGACCATCGTCCACCAATCGAATCTTTTGGTCATCATAAGAGATCTCCTCGACATAGAATTTCCCATATTTCGTAGTAAAAGTGGTGCGATTATTCTCGCACGCCAATTCATAAGTATGGTCGCCACACGAAGAAGAGTCATCTTTTAAACAGAAAGGGCTGCTGATATTAGTTATAGTTCCGCAAGAGGAGGGGGTCCAGCGCTTTCCTTCTTTTCTGGCGATGCCAGTATCAAGGAACATAAAGAGAACAAGGGCAGTGGGAGCGATCAATGCAAGGTTTGCTCTTGGCATTTTACAACACCGAACAACGAGTTTGAAAAGCAAGCAGTAATAACTGTGCTTATGCTTGGAAGCTTGAAACTTGAAAGTGTTTCTGGAAATTAAATTCGGCAGGCAGCAGCAGTACTAGCAACCGTGTTAAATAGATTACTAGGCCATTAGTCCCACTACTTTTTCTTAATTAATTGTTCAACTAGAAGAAAAAAATAATTATACCTTAATTTTTATTTTTAAATTAGGATTAAAATGATTTTAGTTATTTTGACTCTTTCATTAAAATTTTAAAAGATATTATTATTTTAACATGTTCACTTATTTATTTTGATTTCATTTAATAGAATTTTTTTAATAAAAATATTAGATAATTAAAATCTATTTAATGCATTCACTCAAGAATCATCTTGTGTCATACTGTATATCTCCAAATCACTCAAGTATGATCATGTCTATTAGTGTTATTAACAACGAATTATAATTAGAGTGGGGTTGGACTAGTGTTTTACAGACATTAGTTCTTTTAGTGACATTAGTCCAACCTCAATTTGAATTATAATTAGTATTATTGGCAACTAATTATAAACCAGATTCTTTTAGTGACAAAGAATGTGATCTACCCAATCAAATTAACTTGGCTCAGTTATTTCAAACTTTATGCGAGTTAAGGGTGACCGGTGAACTTTGGTCATTAAAATTTAAGTCACTGAATTCAACCATTCCCTATTTGATTCACAGAAATTGCTTTGACAGTCTTGAAGTTTCTTGGAAAAGTTAATAACTCTCAAGTCTTGACGGGTCCCTTCATGGCCTGCGAAGAAAGGGTTGATCAATAAGATTGACTTTTAAGTCTTTGTTAATTGTTTTTATTTTGCTTGTCTTGGCACAATAAGAAAATCTTGAACAGATTTTGATCTAGGAAGAGAAAGAGAAATCTTCCAAGAAGTTGTTGTAGGTTAGAATTATCTCCGAACGCAGCGCAAGAAAGGAATGGGAGTTTGCAAAATCAATTATTGGACTTCGAATAAGGGATGCATGTGATAAAAAGCGAAAATACTATAGTTAGAAATAATTTCAATTCATCTTTCAATTTTCAACTAGAATCATGTAATTTTCCAATAACAATAAAAAAAAATTATATAAAGATTCATCGCTTCAGCGAATTTCATATAAAATTTTATTAAATATCATATAATTCCAATATATGATTGAATTTGAGGAGTGAATTATGTGAAAGGTTTTTACTATTTATCCACTAATAAAATTTGGATAGAGCTATGAACTTTCTCCTCTAATAATTTCAATGTCACACTTTAGGTAGTGTTTGACATGGGTGATCATTTTAAAAAATCATATTGATATACAAATAGTAATTAAATAATTATATTGATAAGCATTTAATGATTTTACATGATAATATTTTTGAATTATTAAAAATAATCAGATTACTGTCTTAAAAGAGTGATGTAAGACCTCAAAATCGATTTTAATTATTTTGATGATTTCATTAAAATTTTAAATGATATTATTATTTTAATAAAGTCATTTAGATTTCATTAATAAAATATTTTAATAAAAATGTTAAATAACTACAATCTATTTAATGCATTTACTCAAAAATCATTTTATGTCATATTTTATATCTCTAAATCACTCAAATGTCTGTTAATATTATTAGCAACGAATTATAATTCAAGAGTAAGGTTGGATTAGTCTTTTAGTGACATTAGTCCAATCCCAATCTGATTTATAATTAGTATTATTAGTAACTAATTAAAAATCAGATTCTTTTAGTGACAAAGAATGCGATCTGCTCAATCTAATTAACTTGGGTCAGCCTAGTTCAATTTTTATATGAGCAAAAGGTGTGATCGGTGAACTTTGATAATTAAACTTCAAGTCAATGAATTTAGTCATTCCCTGTTTGCTTCAAAGAAATTGCTTCAGGAGTCTTGCAGTTCCTTAGAAAAGTTGATGGCTCTCAAGTCATGACAGGTCACTTCAAGGCCTGCAAAGAACACGTTGGTCAAAAAGATTAACTTTCCGTTTTTGCTGACTGTTCTTATTTCACTCGTCTTGGCACGGTAAGAAAATCTTGAAAAGATTTTGATCTAGGAAAAAAAAGGGCGGATTTTCCAGGAAGTTGCTGTAGATAAGAATTATCTGCGAATGCAGCATGTGAAAGAAATAAAAGTTTGCAAGATCAATTATTGGGCTTTGTATAAAAGATGTATGTGATCATAAGAAAAAAATACTATAGTTAAAAATAATTCCAATTCATATATCGATTTTCAACTACAATCATATAATATTTTAATAATAACAAAAAATTATATAAAAATTCATCACTTAAAGTATAAATTTTATATAAAATTTTATTAAATTTTACATAACTCTAATTTATATTGAATTAGAAAAGTGAATTATGTAAAAATTTTATTATCAACAAAGGATAATGTTGCTTCAACTTAGAATAGAAGAATTTCTCACTCAGTGAATGACAGAATGAAAACAGCAATGATAAAACTTAGAAAATTAGTAAATTTTTACTATGCCCCAAAAAAATAAGTTATTTCACCATGTGGAAAAATTATAGAACTGAGTGTGTTCAAAAGCAAAAAAAAACATTACGTTTAAGTCAACCAATCTCTTTATCAGCCTTGCCAAATAATATGACAGAAAAGGAAAATTAAAGTCAGTCAAGGCTGCCCCCACTGGAATCACAACAAAATTTCGCAATCATTACAAAAAAATCCAAAAATTAAAAAAAAATTGTTAGTATGTTTTTGTCCCAGTAAATGGGAGGAAGGTGATTTTTGGTAAAAAGTTAATATGAAAATTAAGAAATAAAATTAAATACAAATCTGTTTATTCGACAATAAGCTTTATTTGCTACTTGTAAAACAGAAGAGCACAATTAAAAAAAAAAAGTAAATTTATGCTTCATTTTTATTTTTATTTCCTTGAATTTACTATAAAATAATACAATTGATTGAAAATAAAAAATAATTGAATTGAATTACTCAAATTATGAATTTAAATATAACGGTTTTATATAATTAAAGCTACACTTTCTTTTGTTTTAATGAAAATCAAAATTTTAATTTTGAGGAACTTAATTTTTTACTAACCAATTTGGGAAAATTAAAGAAAATTTAACGAAGATGTTGTATAAAAATAAAAATAAAATTATTTAGGTGAAATTTAAAAAATTTATTAAAAGAATTTAATAAAAATTTTAATGAAAATATGAACCAATAAATTAATAAAATTTAACAAAAAATAAAAATATTTTAAAAATATTATTAAAAATATAATTTATAAAAAAATTGATTCTTTATTTATTTAATAATAAAAATTTTATTAAAATTTTTATTAAAAATATTTATAAAAAATTTATTAAAATTTTTAAAAATTTATACGCTTGATCTGTTTAATAAAAATTTTCAATCTTTTAATTTTAATTTTTATTTTTATTTAATCAATTTTAATATAAAATTTCACAACTTCATCTGAATCTTTCCTTAATTTTGTAGAAAAATAAATTCTACGGGAAAAGGGTCTCATTTCCACAAGAGCGAAGCAGCACTTGCAAGCATATTCTGAACCCTGAAGAGAAGAAGCGCCGATGTTAATGGGACGATATAGGCTCCGATTCACTTCTGGGACTGACTACTTTGTAATAATGATGGTAATTTATTTGTCCTGCTTTGTCTTTATAGTGAATGTTGCAGAAGCTGTGTCAATCCAAGACGAATGCAAGGTGAATAGGTGCAAACATCATGAGCCACTCGTCCGATTCCCTTTCCGATTACAAGGCCTCCAGCCGCCCCACTGTGGCTATCCTGACCCTGGGTTTCAACTATCCTGCTCAGAAAACAACGAAACCGCGCTGAAACTGCCACGTTCAATGAAGTTGCTGGTGAAGCACATAGATTATAAAGCACAGCGGATTCACTTGTATGATCCCAGTCGTTGCCTCTGGCGGCAGCTTGTACATCTCAACTTATCCTCATTTCCATTCATGTTCGAAGAGCCAAGCTATCCGTTGGCATTCTACTATTTGTTCAACTGTTCAAGCAATGATGAGTCTTTGTATGACAACCGTATAGTCCGTTGCTTAAGCACCCCTGGCTCCCAAATTATAGCTTTTGAATCTGATGTTGGCTATGTATATAATAACATCCTGTTAAATTGCAGCAACATTGGCAACTTCTCTACAGTAATTCCTCCAACACTTATCGATTTTCAGTTAGTTTGGTACAGACCATACTGTGTTGATTGTGAAAAGGAAGGCAGGGGATGCAGACTGAAGAACAATAGCACAAAGGATCAAACCGAGTGTTTTGATATCCCCAGGCATCATATAGGTATGTTCAATATTTTACTGCTCAATTTTTCTAGTTCAAAATTGTTTTTGTTAGATGGCATTTACCCACAAGAATATTTTAGGTTCAAGTCTATGGCATCCATTAAAGTGAAGTGAAGCTTAATGTTGTACTGAGCCTAAATTTGCATTTTCTCACGCTCGGGGGGAAACCTGTTAAAATAGGATCGAGAGAAGACTAATAAAACATCCCACATATCCAACTGATTAATTTTAAATATTTTATTTCACAGGTGCACGACAAAAGCTAATGGTTGCAGGTAAACGGGTTTTTTCTTTTTCCCTTCAATTAGTGAATACCGATTATGAAGCATGATTTGACTATAGCAATATATCATTTGCAGGTGTAGTCTTAGGTTGTTTCATTCTTGCAACGATTGTCATTGGAGTTGGCTGGACACTTCACTTGGACAAAAGAGAGAAAGAAAGTCAACTCAAGATTGAAAAGTTTTTGGAAGATTATAGATCACTTAAACCCTCAAGATACTCTTATGCTGATATTAAAAGGATAACCAATCATTTCAAGGACAAACTGGGACAAGGAGGTTATGGAACTGTCTTCAAAGGTAGACTTTCCAATGATGTTTTAGTTGCTGTTAAGGTCCTCAATAATTTCAAGGGAAATGGTGAAGAATTCATCAACGAAGTGGGTTCGATGGGTAGAATCCACCATGTCAATGTGACTCGCTTGGTTGGGTTTTGTGCTGACGGATATGAACGAGCTCTTGTTTATGAATACCTACCAAATGAGTCATTAGAGAAGTTCATATTCGCAGCCAAGGGCGATAATCGTTCCCTTAGTTGGGAGAAGCTTCATGATATTGCTCTTGGTGTAGCCAAAGGTATCGAATACCTGCATCAAGGTTGCGAGCAACGAATCCTCCATTTTGATATCAAACCCCACAATATTTTGCTAGACCACAACTTCAATCCTAAGATCTCTGACTTTGGCCTAGCTAAATTATGTTCCAAGGAACAAAGTGCTATTTCTATGACAACAGCCAGAGGAACCATGGGCTACATTGCACCTGAGGTATTGTCTCGGAACTTTGGAAATGTCTCGTACAAGTCAGATGTTTACAGTTTTGGAATGCTATTGCTTGAAATGGTTGGAGGAAGAAAAAATATAGATGTGACGGTGGAGAATACAAGCCAAGTGTACTTCCCAGAATGGGCCTATAATTGTTTGGATAAAGGAGAGGAGATGGGGATCAGAATTGAAGATGAAGAGCAAACAGGAATAGCAAAGAAACTCACAATCGTTGGACTTTGGTGCATTCAGTGGTATCCCGTAGATCGTCCTCCAATGAAAGCTGTGGTTCAAATGTTAGAAGGAGAATCGAACGTTCTTACATTGCCACCAAATCCTTTCGCCTCTGCGGATCAAACGAAGATGGGTGCCACCATGTCTAGGAAGCCTGTTAATATAGAGCTTGCCACTATTTCTGAATTAGAATAAAAGCAATCTAAAGCTGCATAATTATTAGCAAGACTTGAAATAATCTATTAATTAGTTGACATCTATGACTTATCATGTTCATCAGTGTAATAAATCCACTTAAGGTTTGTTACTACTTAGTTAGTTGCCTTATTACTTCATAGCTCTAAATTAAAGGTATTCGTTAATCAAAAGTGGCAATTCGAGGAGGAAATATTCAATATCAGTTGGTTTTACGGCGTCAGCAATATTTTAGCAGCGCCGGAACTCATAAACATGCTTAAAACTTGTAGCCAAATACATGTGTAAACAAACATATCTGTATGGTGGGGTCAGCAATAGATAATTGTAATTGTTTTTCAAATTCATTCTTATTAAGTTTTCTTCCTCTTAGTATCCTGGAAATATTTTGTCGTAAAAAATAAAGGCATGCTTGATTACAATGGTTAGGAATTGTTAACATCTTAAAAACGGCTGCTGCATTATTAGTATTCTCACTTCTATTTGTTGAAGAAGCCAGTAATTAGGCTTAAGTCAATTTGGATTTTGGGGCTTTAGCTTTAGCACGGAAAAATGCTTTGCACATAATATAGAGGAGGTAGCTCTTTACCTCTTTTTCACGAGTTCTTCAAAGAAGATCATGTCAAATATGTGTTTATTATCTTGTGATTTAACAAAAATCAAGTTGTTCTAAATTTAAAGTTTAGTTCAATTAATTAATACAATCATTTTTAAAAAATAATATCTAATAAGTTTAGAATTAAAATATCAATATTACAAACCTTCCTCATATTTCAGGTTGCGGATTCCTTTATAAAAACGGATATATATGTTTATTATCTTAGTACATTAAGGAGGGAAGTTTGCCCATTAAAATAGACATTAGACAAACATGAATTTGGAGAAAATCACAAGTGGGTGAAATCCAACATACATTCCCCTCAAAATACCATTACATAATGTTGGATATTACACAGCTCGACATGAGAGGCTACCAAAAGCAAACAGTTGCAGAACTATATATAAAGGTTCCTAATAAAATGAAACACAGCACAAAATCACATTATATACTTATATCCACAAGACTTTTTTGACGTAGTTGGCTCGTCCATCGCATTCTTACTAGCATATTAATCTTTACTTGACATTTCGAGGGAAAACAGAAAAGGTTTGAGAGGCATTTCAAGGAGCTCAGCTTCACTTTCAAGCATCTCCAAGACTTTGCTCATGGAAGGACGGTGCACAGGTTTCATTTGTATGCACCAAAAGGCAACCATTACCATCTTCCTCACAATTTTGTTCTCAACTTCTGATATATCTCCCAACTCTATGTTCTCTCCTTGATCAAATTGATCATAAATCCATGAGGGAAAATAAATTTGACTAGAATGTTCAACAAATGCATTCAAATTTTTTCTTCTTCCCACCATTTCCATTAACAACATTCCAAAACTATAAATATCAGCCTTATACGATATGCCTCCAATATTTTTGTAAAATAATTCAGGAGCAATATATCCTAATGTACCCCGTGCTGCTGTGAGAGAAACAGTATTGTCATCGACTGAATATAATTTTGCAAGACCAAAATCAGAAACTTTAGGGATAAAATTTTCATCTAGAAGAATGTTGTGCGGCTTGATATCGAAATGTAAAATCTGCATTTGACAACCTCTATGCAAGTATTCAATCCCTCGAGCTATGCCAAGTGCAATCTCAAACATTTTTTGCCAACTTAAAGTAATTCTCTTTTGAAAATATAACTTTATCCAAAGATCCATTTATCATGAAATCATATACTAGGGCCTGTTTCGATCTCTCCACACAAAATCCAATAAGTTGCACTACATTAACATGATGAATCCTTCCAATAGTAGCAACTTCATTGATGAAATCTTCTCCATTTGCTTTGGACTTGCCCAACAATTTTATCGCCACCAAACGACCGCTACGAAGCTTTCCTTTATACACTGAGCCATACCCCCCTTGACCTAACTTATCTTTAAAACCTTCAGTCATTCTCTTTATTTCAAAATAAGAATTCCGAATAGGCATTAAATTATTTTGACTTTGAAGAAAGTTTTCAATAGTATCATCCACAGATAAATGTCTCCTTCTCAATTTATATATAATAAGTGCAATCAAACAAAATATCCCCAACAAAGTTCTTGCTATTATAATTCCTGTTTTCCAAAAAATACACATACACAAAAATAAATCAATATTTATGATTAAGTTGGTATACTACGATTCTAGAAATTAGACGACTATATATACGTGTGTGTTATTTAATTGGGCAATGTATACATGTTAAGCCCCAAAATCCAAATTGACTGGATTAAGCCTAATTATAATTAAGTTGTATCATAATTAGTGGGGCAAGTTTGATTTACCTGTTACTGCAAGAGAAGTAAAAAGGGCTCCTGTTAAAAATGCCAACTGAAAAATAATTAATAACTTGAATTACAAGGCAAAAGCAAAGACAAATCCAATTAATATAACAGTTTTGAAATCTAATAGCTTTACCTTTACCAAATTCATAATAACCGTAGATGCTTCCCTGCAGAAGAAATTCTACAATGCTTGTTACGTATTCTACAATCGGAAGTAGCAGATACAATGCCAACTGTAGCAATCTAGAATACCCAGCAAAGCAACCATTAATAAGACCGTACGTGAAAATATTTGAAAGAATCTAAAGCTCGAATCCTCGAAAATTCCTTACACTTTGAGAATGGGGTTTGAAGGCCAATAACTTTCGGGTATATGCCATGACACTTGGACGCCTTTCAACAGCGTTTTGTAAATATCAAAAGTAGATAAGCCACTAATATTGGAAAGCATGAACGGGAACTGGGCTTCAGTTCTGCATGACTGATTGAAATCGGATATTTTTGTATCCGAACCCAAAAAGTAGAAATAGATCCGTGGAGAGGAAGACTCATTGGTTCTGCAACGAGAAGCATCAACATAAACTGAAGAGTTCAACTTCATCATGCAATTTACGAGATACATGACTTTACTTCCATCATAGTTTATTATGCGTTCATTATAATAGTGGTAAAAAGGGATGGAACTGCGAGGGATGGAGCAGTTTTCTTTGTCCAGACTCACATCCACAAGTTGGAGTGTTTGATTAATATAAGAGATGTCTAGGACATAGAAATTCCCATACTTCATGGGAAAAGTGGTGCGGTTTTTCTCGCACTCCAGTTCAAACATACGGTGATAACCGCACCAGCGAGGCTGACCCTTTAGTCGAAAAGGGTAACTGATGTTAATGCTTCCACAGAAAGAAGGGCCGCAATGCTTGCTTTTGCCTCTAGCAACGCAAGCAGCCGGGAATAGAGATAGAGTGCAGGCAAGAAAGAAGCAGAATAGGGAAAGGTTCGCTCTTAGCATTATGAACATCCGGTGGAGAGAGCTTTAGAGTAAAAGGCTGACGTTTAATTCCGGTCACGATAGGCACTAGGATGCTCTAAACTTTTTTTTTTTGGGGGGGGGGGGTTCAGGATGTTCTGAACTTATCTTGAGTGCCAATCATTCTATTTTTATGGCTGCAATTGAAAGCAAAAGTCTTCTTTTGAATAAGCAGTCAACTAATAAAGCCAAAGTGGAAAACACATCAATACAAGTCAGTCACCCTTGTGCATTCAAAATTGAAAACCCTTCACCAATTAGGCGTGCTATTGCTTCAGCAATCAGCACTCAACAGCTGTTTCTGAAAATTAATTTTCAGGTAAAAACTTATTTATGTAAAAAATTATGTATTGAACTTATATATATTTACATTTATTATATAAATAACTAAAATTAATAAAATATTAATCAGAAATTATTAACATATAAAATTTGTTCCATGCAAAATATATCAAATTAATATAAATTATTTTATTCTTAAAGTTAATAAAAAATTAAAATTCTGAAAATAAAAAAATTCAATAGAAGCTAATTTTTATTTATAAATTGTATAAATATTATTAATAATAAAAAAATTTAAATAATAATTTAATATTATAATGGATAATAATATCTATTTTTGTCGGTTCAAAATATCTTAATATATGTGCTTTATATATTTATCATAGATTATATGTTGCACTTCATTTTTTTTCCTTTCCTATTTTAATGAGCCCATAGCCTTCAAAATTTGAATAATCAACAAGCAAGACAAACGCCATTGATTGATAAGGGGAATGAAAATGAACGACAACCATTTTTGTTTTATTTGTAACTATTTTTACTGTCCCATTAATTGATAAATGTTTATAGACACATTAAAAATTTATTCTATGCACATCCATTACGTGGGTGAAATATTATATATTTAAAGATTATTAAAAATAAAAAATTAATATTTTAAATATTAAAAAATGATAAATGTTTATAGACACTTATTAAAAATTTATTTTATGCACACCCATTATGTGGGTGAAATATTAAATATTTAAAAGTTACTAAAAAATAAAAATAATTATTTTAAATATTAAAAAAAGTAATTGCAAGTACAGTTTGTTTAGAATGAAGAAAAAATATAGAGAAGTTGGCTAAAAAATATGGCTATAACTTATTTCAAAAAATTAAATTATTGATATAGTTTTATTAATATTATCATTAATTTTATAATTTTCTTTTATGTATTTTTAATTGAATTTATGCCATTTAACGCGTGACACTAACTTAGTTGAAATTTTATAACTAGTATAATAATTAAATTGATAAGTTAAATAGTAATCAACAAACAAGGGAGTTGGATTCACTAACAATATTTTAGATACAAACTTATTAGGAAAATATCAACAACTGCAAATAGATAATTGTTTAAATAATATTTTTAAAAAAATATATGATTAATATATATTTTTTTAATTGAGTATGAAATGTGCATTAAATTGAAAATTTATTTTTTAAAATAATAATTTAATCAACATAATAATAAATATAGCTAGGTATCCATTAATAGGAGAAAGCATTTTCCATGTGATTTTTTATTACAAAATATTTCTTAAAAACTTTGATGGTTTAGCATCACTTTCAAAGAATAAAAAACCAAAAAGCATTCAAAGGTTCAATCAGAACTAAAGACACTAAACTAGTAGTTGCAAAACAATGTTATTTACAAAAGTTTTAGCCTTTTCGGAGCAAAAATAGTAGAAGGATTTTAACATTAGCAAAATGGAAATATCATGAATCCTGAACTG